ATGTTGCCAACACTGACCTGCGCAATCACTGAAATCTTCGTACTGATCTGCGCAATGTAAACAAACTGGCGCCATATTTGTAATCAGCACGGTGATTTGACCGTGCTAAATTATTAGAAAAGTCTAAGAATTTACTGAAATGATGGGCTGTAAAAGCAGTTTAAGTGATGCTGAAAAGAAAATTATCACCTCAGAACTCTCAAAAGGTAAATCTAACCTAGACGTTTCTAAAATGATTATCTCGTAATAATTTGGCACGCAGTGTAATCCTCTCCAATAGTATTGGAGCGGTAAAGCGAATTCCTTTGTTTTTCTTGTTCGCCAAAGACATTTAGGTCTTAGATCAAAAGATGAGATAAGAGTTGAGTATTTCAGTTTTTATTTCCTGGTATTTACATTTAGATGTTCGTCTTCTCACGATGAGGCCCTGGTTCGAATCTCACCATGGTCGAATTGTCAGAAAGGTGACTTCCTGATGTTATTGGTCTGGAGGAGGCCATCCCTCCGTGCGGCCTGAGAGTACCTGAAAACCATACCACGGGTTGACCTAGTGCCACAATGTCCCCAAACGACCCACCGCAGGTTTTGAATTCCTTCTCCTAGACCAGTTGCCATCCAAGGCTATAGAACTTATTCTGTCCTGCTATTTACCCATAGCTGGAGGGAAGAGATGAAGATTAATCTCTTTACCAAGTGTATTAGCACGTAAGTGAATGTAATGGATTCGACTGGAATTCGAACTCGGCTCTCTGATTTGTGTCTTGTCAAAAGATAAGGCACAGAGACCCTACCTTACGAAGGTGGGGAAATGACTATAGCCAAGATGCCAGATCAGCATAAAACCTACGAGTATATGTAGCTAGTTCAACAGTAAAACGGTGAGACCTAGTTGCCAATCTAGTAATACGCTTCTTCGAGTCGGTGGGTGGTCAGCTTATTAGTATGGGCGGGCTGGCAACGAGTTCTGTGATATCTTGACGCGACGTGCTTCCGCGTAGAAATGGCATGAGGAACTGGAACATGATCATAAGCCTGTACTTGTTTCCCGACGAGAAGATTTAAAATGTGGAACAGTGAAAGGTGCGTTTCAGAAACTAAGCAAAGTATTAAGATAAAAGAAAAACATTGTTAGAAACGAAGAAAACAATTCTAAACTGCGATGTAATATGTAATCTATATGGCGATGATGCTGTGCAATCGCTGCCGAGACGAAGAAGATATTTGAAACAATATAGATGTGGTTCTACAGAAGGATGATCAGAATGCCATGCATAGAATATGGAAATTGGTATGACTAGTTTTTCTCTTTCTTCTTCTCATCGCATGGCCCGTGGAATTAAAACAATATACCCTCGTAGAATAAATAGACGGTTCGGTTCAAAATTTCAACTGATATTACTTGATGAAGGTCGGAGCGTACAACGGCTGAAACGCTGTTTATAAGGGAATAAAGATGAGCACAAGAGTCCGAACAATATAAATAATGTAAAAAGGTAGAATACCTTATCTTAGAAATATAGATAGATCCTGAATAAAGTCGGAGCGTACAACAGTCGAAACGCCGTGAATATGCCAATAAATATGAGGACAACAGACCGAATAATATAAATAATGTAAATAGTTAGAATACCTCATCTAAGAAGTTTACACAGATCCTGAAGAAGGTTGCGGCGTACAACGGCCGAAACGCCGTGAATATGGCAGTAAAGATGAGGACAACAGTCCGAACTATATAGATAATGTAAATAGTTACAATACCACATCTAAGAAGTTAAGACAGATCCTGAAGAAGGTCGGGGCGTACAACTGCCGGAACGCCTTGAATATGCCAATAAAGATGAGGATATCAGTCCAAATACTGTCAATAGTTACAATACCTTGTCACAGAATATTTTGGTTAAGGCAAGACACGTGGAATTAGGACAATATAACCCTGTGGATTAAATAAACGGTTCGATTCGAAATTCCACCGTATATTACCTGAAGAAGGTCGGAGCGTACAACGACCGAAATTTCGTGAATATGGCAATAAAGACGAGAACAACACTACGAATGATGTAAATAGTGTAAACCTTTGACTCTTATAACGATTTATGTCAGCTGACATTATTAACAAGTCCTAGAATAGAAGAATTCAAACATAACATTAATTCTATTGAGAAACAATATACAAAAGTTTTGCCTTTTCTGATATTTTTTCTTAAAGAGAAGGATAAAAATTATGCTTTTGAAAGGTTACCATATGTGTTGTCAGAAGACGTACAGTCTTATTAATAGTCCTATTTACTTGTACATATCCTGGGAGTGAAAAGAGATTAAAAACGTTATATCTTCTGCTGAGGTAGCAGCAAGACAGGCCGTGATTGGACGGTTTTGTGACCAATCCAGAACTCCCATACAAGTAGCGTTCGGCAAAACTAAGTAGAGCCTTAAATTCTTCTGTTGCTCTGTCTGTGTTTTCACAAGCGCGCACACTCGCGTTTGTGTATGTGAATTTCCT